ACTGTTTTTGGAAAGAGCATATAGTACACTTATAAAACTACGATTTTGATCCAAATAACACCATAGTTGGCTTCTAGCAGCATGCCGTTTGGTATCAAAATAAAGAGGAAGAGTGCAAATTTCATTTTAATTACGGAAATAGGGATGTATGTCACGATTAGTTCCAACGTTGGCCTTTTTACTACGCGTGTCACGGCCTTCGTCTCAGAACTGAACAAATGTTAGCAAACGCGAGTTCCAATAAATGGACACTGATATCTCGAAAAGAAACCTGACTCCCTATATTTGTAGAATAATCGAACCCCTATATGAATAGGTACATTTTGATATATAACACTATGGCCTGGGGGTAAATGTTTCATAGTTGGTCACGAACGCCATGAGTGCAAAGTATTCACAAGAATTTTTGAATTTCGTGTCGGATTACGGTACTCACACCTAAAGCGTGGTTTTTGATAGTTTAATAATAGTTCTATGCGTATTGTGTGGAATTGTGTGGTGAATTGTGTTGACGTTTACTTAAGTTAAGCGCATTATATTTGATAAATCAGTATCTGAAAGTTTGATTCAAGAGTACTTTTACATTAAAAATCCCTTGAATGTCCTGCGACATCCCGCAAAAGGTGGATGTCCCGCAAAATCCCGCGAATTTAGGGCACTTTGTCTAAAAAAAATTATCCCTCTATGAAGTCTTTGGTGGTTACCCTGTTAACTGTCCCGCAAGTAGCGTGTTTGTCCCTCGAATAGTCCGGCGAAATCCCGCGAATTTGATCAAAATTTGACCTTTTAGTGCAATCACGCAAATCCCTTAAATGTCCCGCGAAATCCCGCGAATTTAGGTGGATGTCCCGCAAAATCCCGCGAATTTTTGGCAATGGGTCTAAAAAATCTGTCCCGCGAGAAAATCTTTGGGGGTTGACAGTACTGGATAACTCAAATACCAGTGAACTGATTTTGATATATGATGATGCCTAGAGACACAGTACCTCTGTTTGACAAAGAATTTTCAAGATGACAGCCGAATTTTAAAATGGCCACCATTTTTCGTAAAAAAATGTATCTTTGATAACTCAAATAGCAGTGAATAGGTTTTGTTCTCTGAAGATTTGCATCTTCTCACATCTGGGGACCAAAACGCTGCTAAAACGAGCGACACTGTACACAAAAGCAATGTCTCGACTGAAAGGCATTTCTGTGTAGGTTTTCATGGAACAAGTTTGAAGAAAAACGGTGTAGTGGCATGAGACTCACAATCATTGATTTTCCATAGACAAGGTAGATTTGAAATTCAAATTAATGGCTTTGCGGGGCGTTTTGGTTTCAATACGCCCTGGTGAGTTAGTACCGCGTGACTCTGTGGAGTTGCTGTTTTTCTAGTATTTGAGTTATTAAAGATTACATTTTTCATCAAAAATGGTGGTCATTTTGAAATTCAATGGCCATCTTGAAAATGTCTCTTTGAGCAGAGATCTTTTGTCTCCAGACATCAGCATATAAAACCAAATCAGTAAACTGGTATTTGAATTATCAAAGATAACATTCTTTTACGAAAACTGGAGGCCATTTTGAAATTCAGCTTCCATCTTGAAAATTCCTTCTTAACCACAGCTCCTGTTTTCCTAAGCATCAACATGCAGAATTTGAACCAAATATGTCCACTGGTATTTGAATTATCAAAGATTGTGCCTTTTTAAAAATGTTGGCCATTTTGAAATTCGGTGGCCATCTTGTAACCATCTCTTCTTTAACAAAGGTCCTTTGTTCTTACGCACCAGCTTAAACATTTTTAACCAAATCCATCAACTAGTATTTGGGTCATCAAAAATAACATTTTTAATGAAGAATGCCAGCCATTATGAATTGAAAATCCCTTATTGAGCAGAGGTCCTATTTTCAGAAGGCATCAGCCTATAAAATTTGAACCAAATCCATCTGTTTAATTTAGGACGGAAAATCCAAAATGGCTGCCTTGACATTTACCAAGAATGCCAAAAAACTAATCAGTTCTAGATCTTCATACTCAGAATCATCCCTGAAAATTTGAAATTGATCTAGCAAACGGTTCACCTGAAAACGCGTAGACAAGACTTTACAGACAAGATTTTAGGATGGAAAATCTAAAATGGCTGCCTTGACATTTACCCAGAATGCCAAAAAAACTAATCATATCTAGATTTTTATACTAGGAATCATCCCTGAAAATTTGAAATTGATCCACCAAACGGTTCACCTGAAAACACGCAGACAAGACTTCACAGACAAGATTTTAGGATGGAAAAATCCAAAATGGCCGACAATAAAAAAGTGATTGTGAGTTTTTGCTGATTTCTTTTTACAAAATTATCACATATAACTACTGTTAACAATAACATAGGCTTTTACAAGAAAGTACATCTGAAATTATTTATAAAGCTACTAAATCGTTAAAGTATGAAAACTCAAAAACACCATTCAATATGATACAAAGTATTATCGCACGCTAACTTTTCTTAAGACATTCAAAATGGCTGATATGACTGAGCTAACAGGTCCAAAACCTAATCAGATGTAGAATGAAGTGAGCTGAACAAGATTTTAAAGTTTTAAAAGCAACTGTGAAGCCATTTTTCTTAAAGTTTGCAGACAAGATTTTAGCATTTGACTTCAAAATGGCCGACAGGAAGTAGGTATTGAGTTAAATTTTTTTCATCCACATCTGTATGCACTCATAAGTTATCCCTGAAAATTTGAAGGTGATATATGTAGCGGTTTTGGAGAAAACTCCCGGACGTATGGTCGGACGGACGGACGGACGCGCCTAGGCCGACAATATGGCCCCACACTATGTGGTGGGGACATAATAATACCAAAAAATAAATAAATAATAGAGAATAAAAAAGAACGATTTTAATTTGGGTACTAAAATAATAGTACCCATTTCAAATTACTTCTTGAAGGTTCTACAACTAATAAGGAAAATATATTTCACTACTTAAGACATTGGTTTATTAATTATTTTATAGAAAAATGTTTTTTGGGTACTATTTAAATAGTACCCTCGCAATGTTAAAGTAAAATTTAAAAATAAGTATTGGGTACTATTAAAAAAGTACCCAAGCAATGTTAAATTACCATTGAAAAAGTATTCCTGGGTACTATTATAATAGTACCCAAATAAAATATTTTATATTACTTTCATTTTCTATTCATTTAGCCCAAAAAATACCATGCGCCTTTTTTATATAAAGCCCCTCAAATAAATCCCTCTTTAGAATGAATGGGCAATTAAGGATGATAAAAAAATTATTTTTAAAAAATAAAAATTTAATATTTTCTATATGAAAGTGTCTTATATTAACTCGGTAAATAGTACCCAACCCATGTAAAAACTGCCATTGAAAAAGTCGTTTTGGGTACTATTTACCGAGTTAATATAAGACACTGAACTGATCCCTTCCCCTATATTAACTCGGTAAATAGTACCCAACCCATGTTAAACTGCCATTGAAAAGGCTGTTTTGGGTACTATTTACCGAGTTAATATAAGACACTAAACTGTTCCTTCCCCTATATTAACTCGGTAAATAGTACCCAACCCATGTTAAACTGCCATTGAAAAGGCCGTTTTGGGTACTATTTACAGAGTTAATATAAGACACTGAACTGATCCCTTCCCCTATATTAACTCGGTAAATAGTACCCAACCCATGTTAGACTGCCATTGAAAAGTTGTTTTGGGTACTATTTACCGAGTTAATATAAGACACTAAACTGTCCATTTCGCTATATTAACTCGGTAAATAGTACCCAACCCATGTTAAATTGCCATTGAAAATGTCGATTTGGGTACTATTTACCGAGTTAATATAAGACACAGCAGTAAATAATTTACTAAAATATCCACATATCTAAACCAATAACCCCTGATAACATAAGCAAAATACAGTTTTATAAAAAGGACCCCTTAGAATGATTGCAAACTTAAAAAACTTTTGGGTACTATTTACCGAGAATGCCCATGTTTCACATTCAAAACATGTAATCAGTTTTCAAACTTAAAAAAAAACTTTTGGGTACTATTCAAAACATGTAATCAGTTTTCATGAAGGTAGTTCTGCATAATGAGTATTTTCATGTAATTTTATGATTGCAATGACCATTACTTAACGAAATAGGTAATATTTTAAAAATTTATCTGGACATATCTTATCATTTTCAAGTCATTTTATATCTTTTAAAGGCATGTTTTAAAGAATGTTCAACATTCTTTGGCAAAATAAGGATTTACTTTTTGACTTCATAGTATTCCCAATGGATTGATAAGTACTTTATATTTAATGGACACCAAAAAAATAGCTCAAACCCCCACATCAAAGCTTACAATAAAAAATTATTAAAAAATACTTTTGACTTGTCAAGTTTTATCATGGGCTTTCGCATAGTGAACATGTTTTTTGATCCTACACCATAACATCAAATTCAAAAGAGTTGACTCGTACATGTGAAGCATAAATAAAACTGACAGCAACGTTGTAAATTGTGAAAATCTTTAAATGAGGAATATAAAGGCTATTATGTGTACTAAGAAAGCGACAAGGCCCGAAGGTATCTGGAAAACTGACACAAATCACCTTACAGTAAGCACTGTCAATATATCAGCATAAGTACCTTTTGGCCAAAGCTAAGATTATAACACATTTTTGGATTATAACACTTTCCTTGGTTTGTAAAGACGACTTAACAATAATGTTGCAACGTTTCCATATTCGTGAACTGCAGTTGTTTCCAGTAAATAACATTACAGCAGTATGTAATACTTTTCTGAAAAATTACAATTTATGGAAGGTTTGCATGCAAATGTCAAGTGGAATTTGATGTAATCTACACAAAAATCATTGGGAGAAATCCACAATCAATAATGTTTTGTTCTTTCTGCAGAGCAATAAGGGAAATTAAGGCTGAGATAACGATGAAGATGGTAATGATCGTATACCTACACAAATATTATTGACAAAACAAGAATGGAATTTAAGGCAGTGATAACCAGCGGTGTTTCTTTGGCAATCTTGCTTTCGTACATATACATAATTACCAGCATTGACAAATATGAAAGTTCAGACCTTCCAGCTTTTAAAAAGCCAATAGAAAGCAAGCAGATTCATACCAGAAGAATAAAAAATTCTGAAAAACAGTTTAAGAACACATTGGATAATAAGAACCAATGGAGTATTCCACAACAAAGGCTGGAGATCAATACAGCACTAAAGACTAGACACAGAGGAGTTTTTTATCTAAAAGTTAACAAAGCAGGGAGCTGCACACTTCAAGCAATGTTTAATAAATATGCTGATAAACACAACCAAATTGTTGGAATGCCATGTAGTAATTCTGGTGGTGAGAGACACTTGGTGGGATGGCCTGAACCATTCAAACCAGAATATTTAATCCCTCTGAGCAAGAACTACACATATTGGGAACACCTAAATGAGCATATAAAATACAGTTCAAAAATTAAACAAGTTATGGCCCCAGGGAGTGTATTCGTCGCATCAATCCGTGAACCACTTTCACATTTCTTTTCATATTATAACTTTTACAACATGGAGAAAACCTATGAAGGATATCTCAAAGAGCCTAATAAATTCAAATATTTTTTAGATAACATTAAAACTATGCCGCACCTTGAACTGATCCATCACATGCCTCCTAGTAACCCAATTGCACAATGTTTCGGAATCAAACAGGAGGAACAATATAACATCACAGCAATACAAGAAAAAATCAATGAAATCGAAAAGGAGTTTGACTTAGTGATATTAGCTGAGTTTATGGATGAGAGTCTCATTTTGTTGACTGAATGCTCAGATTTAACAATCGAAGATATAGTCATCTTAAAAAATGCAAATGTGAGGAACATTAAAAAATCAAAGCCAGTTTTAACTCCTACTGAATATGAGAACTTAATCCAATGGAACTTAGCCGACTCAATGATATACAATCATTTCAACAAAACTCTATGGGAAAAAATTGACAATTTTGGTCGTCACAAAATGGCTATAAAAATCTTAGAACTCGATATGGCTAAATCAATAAAGCAGAAGGAATGTGACTCTGTTCAGAGGAAACCTAATTTGACAAGAATAGAAGATTTAAAAATAAAACATGACTGTATGATCCCACGCCTAAATTATATAGGTGCTGATAAATATTTCAGGAATAAGATGACTGAGAAAGGAATCTATGATATTGAAAAGGCTCAAAAAACCTGTAAATATCCTCCGAATAAACATGGGGAGTAACATAAAAATGTGAGAAAATATAAACCTTAAAGATTATTAAAAGGTTATGAGACACCAACTGGATTACTGTATCGTTTTTTACATAAACCTATACATTATATTTTGAAATGTGATATTTTGACAACAAAAACTGATTTCTCAAACAACAAAAATGATTATGAGCATTCGATCAGACAATTGCCAGTTTTAATTAAATTGCCCAAAAACTGTTCACAGACAAACAGACAGACACGTGAGTCATTGCAATAGCTCTCTAACTGAGCTAAAATCAACTCTTTATAATGACAATAAAAATGTTGTACCAAAAGGAATTGATTAGTTGAAAAAAGTAAACTATGTAATACGCCTACAAGAAAGTATTATCTTTATTGACTAAACATGATAAAAATCATCATATTTTGAACAAAAGATAATACAGATTATAATCACTTATCTGAAATGAACTTGAACTCAACTTTAAATAGAAACTTCTGGGATGGAGGAAAACTTAATGATTTCTATGGGTGCAAGTTAAAATTTATATGTCCTTATTTTAATGATATCCTCATCAATTAAATTTTATGATGAACTTTGACGTCCAGTGCTTTTTTCCCTTTACTATACAAATGTCTTTTTCACATAGGGTTTTTATTAAAATACATTCCATAAGATTCTTGACACCCAGTAAGTCATAGGTTGAAGGGTCATAGGGTAGTACATTCCAATATTCGGTTATATGAGGCATACTTGTAATTACAGGAATAACAAATATATGTTCATCTTGCTCTCAGTAGATACAACTATTATATCAAAAATACTAGAGAGGGCTGTTCATAATCAATTATACCATATATGTATTTTAAAGCCAACAACCTATTTACAGTATGGCAATCGGGTTTTAGAGATCACCATTTAACAGAGACAGCACTTCTCTCTTTATGTGATGAATGGCTAAAAAATGTTAACGAAGGTAAATTAACGGGAACTATATTTTTAGACCTGAGTAAGGTGTTTGATCTTGTTAATCATTCGATCTTACTAGAAAAGTTAAAATTGTATGGTGTAGGCAGTAAAAGTTTACTTTGGTTTCAACATTACTTAAAAAATAGGAAACAAACTGTTATTTTAGATGATACACCTTTGCAAGAAGCATCTGTCTCTTTGGGAATTCCGCAAGGATCGATAATTGGTCCTTTGCTCTTCATAATCTTTATTAATGACTTAGCCAAGGTAAATGTATGCAGTCAAGATGGTTGCATCTGACTGTTTGCAGATGATACTACTTTAACTAGGTCAACTTGTGATGTACCATCTCTTCATACACTACTTCAAAATGATATTAACTGTATTGATGAATGGACGAAATGTAATAAGATGCATTTAAACTAAAGTAAAACAAAATTAATGAAAATAGGAAATACCTCAAAGTATGGAAATGATGAAGATACCATAACAATATCAAATAATGTAATTGAAAATGTTGAAACTTATAAATATTTAGGTGTTATTTTGGATGACAAATTAGCATTCAAAGTACATATTGAAAAGCTTTGTTCAAATATCTCTTGTAAGATAGGTATTTTAAGAAGGCTTAATCCATTTGTTACAAAGGAAGCACTCATCACAATTTATAATACAATCATAATACCAGAATTTAATTACTGCTCAATATATTGCCTGGGGAGAATGTTCTAATAAAATCCTCAAAAAATGATGGCAGCACAAATTATACTGAGAGCCAATTTTGATGTTTCAAGTGTCACTTTCAAGTGTCACTTCATGTACCAAAACCCAAACTTGAAGTGTTTAAGAAAAGCATATCATACAGTGGTTCACATCTTTGGAACAAGCTTGATAAGACTGTCAAAGAGGGGTGCACCCCAGTTGTCCGAAACCCAGTTCTCCGAAACCCAGTTCTCCGAAACCCAGTTGTCCGAAACCCATCACTCCGAAAAATATAGTCATAATTTACCAGAGAAAGGGGAGACGTACTAAGCTTAGGCCAGTTTCATGCCATGTATTTGGCCAAATTAATGGCATGGACGCATTCTGATGTTCATAGATCTCTCTCTCTCACTTTGAATTGCATCCATTGCACGCGTTACCAGAATGGCAGGAACGGGGGATTTATTTTACATTGTGATTCTAAAAAAGGTTATCAAAACACAATATATATTACGGAACAGTTTACCTTATCTTCTTCAATCTCTTTTATATAGGCAAAATAAAATGAATCATTTTGAAACAGATAAAATAAGTTTACGCATAGTACTTTAAGAATAAAACAGTATACATATTACGTTGTCAAAATATTTCGTCGCATTTAATTTCTTAGTCTCTGTATTTTATCAAATCGTAAAGGAACAAAACATTCTTAACTTAATCTCTTGGGATCAACTGGAAACGAAGGCGGGCTGTCCTCGTATCAAAATGGATGTTCTCCCATTCGCAAGAAGTTTCATTTTCGCCATGTACTCACTTCATCCTTTTAATTTAATCTCTATTTCTCGAACAGAGTACGTAAATGAAGAATAAGTTTTGGTTTCAAAAGATGTACATGTCAACTTTACTAAATAAATGCCCACTGGCTTGGGAAAGCTATTTTTCTTTTTATGAACGCTCATCACCCATTGGAAAAATGTTGTTCCCTCTCAAAAAAGGCCCATGGGCCATAAAGAAAATTGGTTTAAAAATTGTAGACCCCTATGTATGTATGTTGTGTAAACGCCATTTTACAATGAGAATAACATAATTTAACTTTGTTTGTTTGAACATCTATATCACCTGTATATGAACTTTCGTAGGCTAAACATTAAACAATTAACGTCTTGACTTAGCATAATTAGCCTAATTTTGCAATGATGTCAACGTTATTCCAATGTTATGTTGTGATTCGCAGAGGTTGCGACAACGAGATTCGTTTAACAAATGTATTTTTCAAATAAGATCCTCTAATTTTCGGAGAACTGGGTTTCGGACAACTGGGTTTCGGAAAACTGGGTTTCGGAGAACTGGGTTTCGGACAACTGGGTTGACCCCGTCAAAGAGTCTGATTCTGTAAACTCTTTTAAGAAAGCATATAAACAAGTGCATCAGATCAGAAAATGAAAATTATGTAAATGCATTATTTAAAGACATTGTTCCTTATTCATGTAATTCTCTTATAAGTTGTTCTCTATGTTTCATGTAACTGCATACTTTGAAGATGCATCTATATCAAATTGTTCTATATGTCCTATATATCTATATGTCCTATTGTATGTTTCTATATTAATTGTACATATTGTAAATAATTGTATACATTACATTACATTACAGTATAAGATCATGCACAGAATATATCCTACAAATATTTTGTTATACAAAATGAAAATTGTAAATAATGAAAATTGCAAGTATTGCAAAGATAAACTGGACACTTATGAACATTTCTTTGTTGAATGTAAATACATTGAGTCAATATCATGGAAACTGGTTCAGACCATTTGTAAATTATTACTGGGCCTCTAGGAAGACCAGTTTTGTACTGACAGAGCTACCCAGAATAAATATAGTTTTCAAATCGAATCAAATCGAACATGAGGATTTAGGGAAAGAGAGGTTATTTAAATTTGAAGGACGATTCTCGGTTTGGAGAATAGTCTCCTGGGCTAATAATCTTTTTCATTAAAAATATTACCCAAATTAAACTATGAATATTCAAAAGAGGACATTTAAATCTACAAGATGTAAAAATAACAAATTGGTCTGAAGCAGGGGTAACGCTCAATTACCGATTCAATAAAATACAAGTCTCGATTTGGGGAAAGAAGTTCATCAGTGTACTGCGCTAATATTTTTTTGCAAAAAATCTAGAAATATTACCCAAATTAAATTATGACTATTCTAAAGAAGACATTCAAATCTATATTATGTAAAAAAATCAAATTTGTCAGAAGCAGGGATAATGCTCATTTAGATTGATGAACTTCGTTCTCCAAACCGAGAATCGTCCTTTTTTGTTTTGATTCGGGATCTGATAAAGGATTTTGGCTGGCACAGGATCCGATACTCATCCATCAACTAGTATTTGAGTTATGCTCCGGACGGACTGACAGATGGTTGAAGGGCTTCACTATATTTCCCTATCAAACGTCGTTCATTGGGATAAATATGTATGTCAGTAAGCATAGTACTATATATAGTGATAAAGGAATTGACGAATATTTGGAAATTACCTCCTGTTCAAGTTCCAATCATTTTTATAGATTATATTGATATATTTAATATCACTGAATATGGTATTGCTTGTTGAGGATCACACAACATTACCGTTTATCATTCATTTGAGATTTAAGCAGGGTCCATTTTTTAAGAAATAATCGTTTTAAAAGATTTCTTGTTAATAGATAATAAATAAGTACAAAAACATGAATTATTATATATCAAGAGCATAATGTAAAATTTCAACTGAAAAATTAGATCAAAATGGAATCCATGTTCACAGTGGGGGTATAACTCATCAAACACTGGATACTTTTTCTAAAGCTTATTGTTACAGCCTAATGTTTTTAATTTGCTTTTTTAGTTAGGATTATAGCATTGACTATTTATGAATTTTTGAGCACCATAAAAAGTTACAGAACTTCATTTATGAACGATTTCAGAAGGGGTCTATTTTACACATATTAAATATTTTTCCGGATAGTTCTTAGATGAAAAGCTAGTACATTGTTACGATTAAATTACATCATTGAGGTGTATAAATCATGAAAACAGGTTTCATCCTGATGTCTTCAACCTAATTCGTATAACGCCATGTCACAAATGGGGGAGGGGACATTGACCTCCACTTGGGGATCTTTATTACTTATATGATTTCAATATTACAGTAATGTTCGGTATCACTATAAACAGGGATTAAATAAGTGTAGACTATTATAAATACGTTGACAGCAAAAAAAATTATACAATTAAAACTGTAAAATGAGATAACAATGGGCTCTAAAATCACAATGATTGGTGCAACTAATCAAATTTATACTTTATAAGCTTAGTATCATGTCCTAACAATTTAAATTAATTTTAAATAGTTATCCCATTGAACGAAGTTCGGAGGGATATAGGGAACGGGCCTCCGTCCGTCCATCCATCTGTCCGTCCGTCTGTACGTACGTCCGTCCGGGCAATAACTCAAATACCATCGGCCCGATTTTGTTAATATTTTGTACACACATACCCTATGGAGGTAAAAGTTCTGCTCGAAAGCCGCTTTTTCAAAATGGCCACTCATTTAAAAATAGCGGCCATTTTAGCGCCGATTTTACAGTGATTTAGGTGCAATATGTAAAACTGCAATAGCAATATCTTTTAAATAAAAAAATATATATAGGACATTAATAAAGCTAGAAATGTAGATATTAAAGAAGCACATGGCAGCCATCTTGAAAAATGGTGGCCTTTACTTGTTATTTTACAATTTTTGCTG